CTCTCGCCATGAGGGTCTTCTCCGTCGGGTTGGTGACGGCGATGCTGCTGGTGAGTGCCGACCTTTGACCTGCCTTCCCATGCTTCCACTCTTGCCTATTGATTGCACAGCCACGTATATGTCAATCATATGATTATATAATACTGATGCGTCTTCATGGCTCCACTTGCTTTGCAGTGCGCCTGGAGCGATGCCAGTGCCAGGATAGCACCGAAGAGCAGGTGGGTGTGAAGCTGGGCACCGTGCCCCTGGCAGTTATGAGGCTCTTAAAAGATTCAACACACTAGCTGCACCTGCGGATTTTCAACATTGTTGTTACGGGTTTTATGCTGTATATCGATCAGTTAGTAAAGGGTAAATATTAAATTTACTGTAGTTTAATGTGTAAATTTACTTTGCCACTTCCTTAGAAGCAATGTATAATTTTTCAGGTTTATTGGATTTCGTCAAGTGACACTGAACCCAGGTCAGGCACAGACTTACCCCAGTGGAGGTGTTGGTCCACGTCAGGTGACACTGAACCCAGGTCAGGCACAGACTTACCCCAGTGGTGGTGTTGGTCCGCGTCAGGTGACACTGAACCCTGGTCAGGCACAGCGTCAGGTGACACTGAACCCTGGTCAGGCACAGACTTACCCCAGTGGAGGTGTTGGCCCTCGCATGGCACCACATTTTGAAAACAGAGGTATTTATTTTCTGTACACTTGTTCACCATCTCAAAAGTAACTAGATCATATACATGTGTACATATACAGCGCACACACGCACATATATATTAACTCGTTCCAGCTGCAGTGGGATGCGGTTCGTACTACGTCGCTCCAGGTTCTTCCAAGACATTCCAGTCAAAGAACTACCCCAATAACTACCCTGGGGGTAAGAAGTGCACCTGGAAATTCCGCGTAAGTTCTTTCCTGAGTGAGAATTCACTGCAGTGCCAATCAACCTTCATTTTGATTGTCATATGCTGTGATGCAGTTTTGATTTCTTCAGCTGCTTGACTCCGTCTAATTCCTTATTTTCTCAGACTTCTGCCGACTCCAAGTTGAGCATCGAGTGTGATGATTTCCAGCTGCAACAGTCGAAAAACTGCAAAAAGGATTTCTTCCGCGTCACAGATTCCTCTGGTTTTAAGAAAAAGTAAATACCATTACGTTTCGTTTCTGTTAACTGCATATTCTACAGAGGGAGGAGGTATTTTGCAGATTAACCGATATTTCTCCGTGTCTTTTGCAGGTACTGCGGTGTCAAGGATTCTCTGACTGTGTCTGATAAATCTAGGAAAGTTACTGTCTTGTTCAAAACAAACAAGAAGAAATCTAATACAGGATTTTCCTGCTCTGTCAGAGCTTCAGGTAAAATTCAATATATTTCCAGTAACTGAGGAACATTGGAAGTCTTGCAATAAGCTTCATTTGCACATTTCCCAATTCCGCATAATGTCTTCTCTTTGTAATATCCTGTACAGTGCCAGACTCCCAAACAACAACTGTAGACCCTGAGCCAACTTCAGAATGCAGTATGTATTTACCCTTCCTCTTTGCTCTGATAACGGAATATCCAGAGTTGAATAATAAAAATGAAAACGTCCATGTAAAGAGTTGGAAATCCATGGCTTCACGACCCACAGTATAACACACAAACGTCTTTCCCGTAGCTGGATGTGGACAAGTCAACCGTGCCAACCGCATTGTTGGTGGAGTAGAGACGGAGGTGAACGAATATCCCTGGATGGTTTCTCTTGTCGACGGCAGTGGATACTATCACTTCTGTGGCGGTTCTATCATCTCCAGCCAATGGGTCGTCACTGCAGCTCACTGTGCAGTAGGGTAAGTAGATCCTATTGAACTAAAAAAGAAGAAAAAAAATCCTCTTATTGTCTCAAATGCACTTCTCTATTCCCTATTATTATTGCAGCATGACCACCTCAGATTATGTGCTGGTGGGAGACCACGACCTCTTCTCCTCAAACGAAGCCAATTCTCAGTGGATGGAGATTGCTGAAGTAAGTTTAATGTCCTCACTTTATCACTGAACCGTGTAAACAAGTGAAAAGTTTAGTGAATGTTTTCTGGCTCTACATTTACTAAGTGAAGTAAATACGTGTAATACGCATTCTTTCCAACAGATTGTGAATCATCCGTCCTATGATTCCAATACACTGGACAACGACATTGCCCTCATCAGACTCAAGACAGAGATCCAGTTCCCATCTGACAACAAAATCGCCCCTGTCTGCCTTCCAACTGCTGGTGAAATGTATGATAGTGTGGATGCCACAATCACAGGATGGGGAGCTCAACAGGAGGGTGGGTACTGGTATTCGTGTTAAACCTTTTAAAGTTTTGTTTTATATCAGAGAATGATAACAAAAAACTTCCTACATTGACTCATACAATGCATTTAACAGGAGGATCCACATCGGGCACCTTGTTCGAAGTAACAGTGCCCACCATGACAAACACCGAATGCAATACCAAGTACGGAGGAAGCATCACTGACAACATGATCTGCGCAGGCATTCCTGAGGGAGGCAAGGACTCCTGCCAGGTATGTTCTTCATTCTTGCTTTTAAGGATACAATTTCAACTTGTCTTTTTTGATAGATGACATTCCTTTCGATATATTTCACACAGTATATGTGAATATTACAGGGAGACTCTGGTGGACCAATGGTGGTGGAAGAAAACGGCAAGTGGAAGCTGGTGGGAGTTGTGTCGTGGGGTTATGGCTGTGCTCGACCTGAAAGGCCCGGAGTCTACGCCAGAGTTACCCGTGAGTAATTTGTGGTTAGCCATTGAATCAGTTCCTGTAGTTAAAAAAACAACTATCCTACGAGATTTTACACAATGCGTCTCTTGGAAGATGAAATGTACCACTCATCTTTGGCCTGTAAGGGATATTTTAATATTTTTGCTGTCTATGACTGATATCTTACAGTACCACCAATGTCGTTTCTCTTACGTTATGAGTGAAGCTGAAAGTCATAAAAAAAAAAAAAAAAAAAATCTGGTGGGGATGTATAATATAAGCAAAAGTCTGTTTGGTGAAGATTGCTTAATATTTTTGATCAAGGAAACATGCCAACCTCAATGCCGCTCCAGTGTCCATGTATGACGGGCTCAGCTAAAATGGAACCACTGCGTTGAGGATTCTTTGATTATGTTTCGGGTTGCAGTTATAGACTTATGCGCTTGCATTTATAATGAATGCATTGCATTCAGAAAATTTGGTCAGACTTTCTATAATTAGACTGGATACCATATATGAAGAGAATGTTAGAAGCTGAGTTCTTGTCAGTAATATTCTAATACGTTTTTCATCATTCTTTGTACGTACAATGAGATAATGATGACTATTTTCCATCAGAATATTTGCAATGGATTTCTGACTCAACAACCGGAGTCTGTGTCGATGGGAACACACCTGCTCCTACAAATGCCCCGACGACTGCCCCTACTACTGCCCCGACGCCTGCCCTACTACTGCCCCACGCCTGCCCCAACTTCTGATCCTAATACTGATTGCCGTAAGTAAAGATAACAAAATCTGTAGTAATCTTCAAGGTACCATAATATTAAAAAAAGTCTTCAGCATTGATAAAAACAGAAAACCTGTTTGACAATAAGGAAGTTGATAGGTGGACATTTGAAGTTCCATACTTCCATCTATGAACTGGTTTTGCGAGTTTCTCAATTACTTTATTCCCACAGCTGGATGTGGACAAGTCAACCGTGCCAACCGCATTGTTGGTGGAGTAGAGACGGAGGTGAACGAATATCCCTGGATGGTTTCTCTTGTCGACGGCAGTGGATACTATCACTTCTGTGGCGGTTCTATCATCTCCAGCCAATGGGTCGTCACTGCAGCTCACTGTGCAGTAGGGTAAGTAGATCCTATTGAAGTAAAAAAGAAGAAAAAAATCCTCTTATTGTCTCAAATCCACTTCTCTACCCTATTATTATTGCAGCATGACCACCTCGGATTATGTGCTGGTGGGAGACCACAACCTGTACTCCGGAAGCGAAGCCAATTCTCAGTGGATGCAGATTGCTGAAGTAAGTTTAATGTCCTCACTTCCTCATAGAATATTGGAAAAACTGAATCGATTTGTCATTATTTTTCTCGACCTATATTTTCACGATCAGACAACTAAACAATTGTAATAACCTTTGTAACAGATTGTGAATCATCCGTCCTATGATTCCAACACACTGGACAACGACATTGCCCTCATCAGACTCAAGACAGAGATCCAGTTCCCATCTGACAACAAAATCGCCCCTGTCTGCCTTCCAACTGCTGGTGAAATGTATGATAGTGTGGATGCCACAATCACAGGATGGGGAGCTCAACAGGAGGGTGGGTACTGATAATTTAAAAGTTTTTAAAAAATTTGTTTTATATTTTAGAAAAGAAATGTCTGCATTGACTCATACAATGCATTTAACAGGAGGATCCATCGGGCACCTTGTTCGAAGTAACAGTGCCCACCATGACAAACACCGAATGCAATACCAAGTACGGAGGAAGCATCACTGACAACATGATCTGCGCAGGCATTCCTGAGGGAGGCAAGGACTCCTGCCAGGTATGTTCTTCATTCTTGCTTTTAAGGATACAATTTTAACTTGTCGTTTTTGATATATGACATTCCCTTTGATATATTTCACACCATATTTCACACAGTATATGTGAATATTACAGGGAGACTCTGGTGGACCAATGGTGGTGGAAGAAAACGGCAAGTGGAAGCTGGTGGGAGTTGTGTCGTGGGGTTATGGCTGTGCTCGACCTGATAGGCCCGGAGTCTATGCCAGAGTTACACGTGGGTATATTATACTTTGCCACTGAATCAATTTCTGCAGTTCAAAACTATAATATATATCTATGTATATCAAAGATCCTAATGTGAAACACACCTCAAGCTTTCCCTAGAAGGAAAATGTACCACAGTTTTCCTGTAAGAAACTCGCATGTTGACTGTCTATGACCGACATTTTGCGATCCATAAAATGTTTTTCTTAGGCCCTCTGGCACCACAGGAAGAAAGCAATCTCACTCTTACTAGAATATTTTATACTTTTCATTATCCTTCTACAATCAGTTAATGAAACTTGCTTTTTCATCAGAATATTTGCAATGGATTTCTGACACAACAACCGGAGTCTGTGTCGATGGGAACGCACCTGCTCCGACAAATGCCCCGACGCCTGCCCTACTACTGCTGCCCCTACTTCTGACTGCCGTAAGTAAAAATAAAATCTGTGCTAAAATAAACTAAAAAATCAAATAAAACACAAAACATTTAATAGCTAACAGAAAACTTGACACTCAAATAATGATGAATGATGATATGGACAATGAAGTTTTTTTCAAGCTGTCTTAGGTTTGTGAGTTTTTTTTTTATTCCCACAGCTGGATGTGGACAAGTCAACCGTGCCAACCGCATTGTTGGTGGAGTAGAGACGGAGGTGAACGAATATCCCTGGATGGTTTCTCTTGTCGACGGCAGTGGATACTATCACTTCTGTGGCGGTTCTATCATCTCCAGCCAATGGGTCGTCACTGCAGCTCACTGTGCAGTAGGGTAAGTAGAGAAGGCCCTTCTTCTCTACTCCCTATTATTATTGCAGCATGACCACCTCGGATTATGTGCTGGTGGGAGACCACAACCTGTACTCCGGAAGCGAAGCCAATTCTCAGTGGATGCAGATTGCTGAAGTAAGTTTAATGTCCTCACTTCCTCATAGAACATTGGAAAAACTGAATCGATTTGTCATGATTTTTCTTATATTTTCAAAAAACAACTAAACAATTGCAATACATATCCTTTCCAACAGATTATGAATCATCCGTCCTATGATTCCAATACACTGGACAACGACATTGCCCTCATCAGACTCAAGACAGAGATCCAGTTCCCATCTGACAACAAAATCGCCCCTGTCTGCCTTCCAACTGCTGGTGAAATGTATGATAGTGTGGATGCCACAATCACAGGATGGGGAGCTCAACAGGAGGGTGGGTACTCATATTCGTGATAAGCCTTTTAAAGTTTTGTTTTATATTAGAGAATGATAACAAAAATCTTCCAACGTTGACTCATACAATGCATTTAACAGGAGGATCCACATCAGGCACCTTGTTCGAGGTAACAGTGCCCACCATGACAAACACCGATGCAATACCAAGTACGGGAGGACGCATCACTGACAACATGATCTGCGCAGGCATTCCTGAGGGAGGCAAGGACTCCTGCCAGGTGTGTTCCTTCGTCATTCTTACCTTTAAATTTACAATTTCAACTTGTCTTTTTGGATACGTGGCATTCATTCCTGTATATTTCACCCAGTATATGTGAATGTTACAGGGAGACTCCGGTGGACCAATGGTGGTGGAAGAAAACGGCAAGTGGAAGCTGGTGGGAGTTGTGTCGTGGGGTTATGGCTGTGCTCGACCTGATAGGCCCGGAGTCTACGCCAGAGTTACACGTTAGTGTTCAATTCTTTTGGAACTGGTTAAGTTCTCAATAAGGCATAAAAACATAATTTCCCTTGAAATGAAGAGATCCTTTCCTTCCAATAATGGCTAATATTTTCAATAATGATTAATATTTATAGGAAATTCTAATAAACGGTTCTGTTTCCTTCTCATCAGAATACCTTGACTGGATTTCGATCTCGACCGGAGGTGTCTGTCCGACGGCTGGTTAATCCACCCATTGGAAAGGTTGTCAGAAGCCAAAGCCCGGGCCAGGAGTACACTCTCGAAGGCACGGTGTAGACGAGGAGCTGGAATTGGATGTTTTCATTCCTGTCTTCCATGTTTTCTTTAGTTTGGCCAAGTTTCCTTTCTTTGCCCTTATTTCTGTTTCTGGATCTTCCATATCAGGAAATATTAAATTTGTGAATTGATTTGGTTGTTTTAGTTTTATTCCACACTGCAAACAACTATAACAGTGTTTAGTAGAACACGAAAGTCCAAAGCGTTTGGAGTTTGTCTGATGACGTCATTGCTCGTGATAAACGCTGATTGGCTGATGAATGCATTGCGAGAAACTATTGAACACCTCATTTCACACAATACATAATACACAAGACAGGAATCTCTCTCTTTCCTCCCCCTTCTCACCTTTTCTTTCTCCGTCTCTTCCTCACTTATCCTACCTCTCTCTCTCTATCTCCCTCTCCCTTCCCTACCTCTATCTCACCCCCCCTCTCTCTCGCTCTATCTCTTTTTCTCTTTCACATATCCAACCACCGCTTGCGTCTCTCATTTGAGTCTCAAGAGAGTTGATACAATGTTAACAATCCTCTTCAAGATGGAAACGAGACAGGACATTTCATAACCCAAACCTCCTCCCCTTCCCATTGAAATTCACCCAATCAACTCAAATCAACTCAAATTGACTCATACCGACTCCCAAACAATAGTCATAGAGCAAAAACCTACGAAAAGTCAGATTCAAGAACTTCCATGTGAAGCCGCGGCCAGTGC